CACCCCCCCTCCTTTACCTGAATCGCGGGGTTCTTCTACCCGCAGGCATCTGCACATTTTTGCATTTCGCAGCTGTGCACAGAGCCACATCATCCATTCACAGATCCTTTGATAGGCTCTGTGAATGAAGAAACTACATGTCTCATTAGCCACAGCAGCAAAGGGATTTGTAGTTCTCAATGGAATAGAACATTGCACCCATGATCTACTGACCGCGATTGCAATGCTTTACTGGCTCCAATGCAAATAAATGTACATTTTTTATTTTATGAAGAAGTGTGCATTTATATTGTTTTCCTCAAAAAGTGGACATTTCCTTTAACTGAGGCAGAGAAAAATATTATGTCTCACACCTTGTTAGACAGGCTGGGTATGTGGCAGAGCTGTGTAAATCTAAAAACTGGATGGACAGAAATATAAATCTTTTGGCAGGAAACACAGTTCTCATAAGTGTATTGTATCATTGTATTTAGCTGGTGTTCAGCTTTAAGGTCCCCTCTGAGGATTCACTCAGGTCTGGCTGATAAATACTGCAGCTCATGTTGTTGTCAGTGTTATTTATTGATGAATCCCATATAACAGCCCCAATGTGCCTAGCTGCTGACGTTCTAAGCTGTTACGTGACGTCAGCAGATTTATACTACTGTATACAGAAATTGTCGCATTTCGTCGCCATAACAACCAGACCGATGACAGCCCGCACTTCCGTCTCCGTTGCGGGGCGCTTCCGGTGAGAGTAGCAAGATGGCGGCGCCCATATCCCTGCAGCTGGAGTTTGGGTGAGCAGGGAGTTTAGTTATTCGGTTTGCTGTCGGGATAATATGGGGGATATATAGATTGTGTCAGGTGTAAGGGAATTACCCGTTCTTGTATCAGTCACATCGGGTATGGGTTCTATCCGGAGAGTCAGCAGCTAGGCACTTGGGGACAATGGACATGTGATGATCACATTGCCGCTCATTACAGTGGCCATGTGACAGGCTGAGTGCAGACTAGTGTTATCTATAAGGAACACACACATGTATGATGTTCGGTTTTCTGGAAAGTTAAGTGTGGCCCAGATACTGTTTGCAGACAAGCATTCGTGGTGCATAATGGAGAAGGGAAGCATTATGACATACAACGATGTTCAGACTGCCAGGAATGTTTTTGTTTAATTTTTACACTCCCCCTCACATAAAGAAAATGGCTTATCTTCACTTCTCAAGGCTCTGTCATTGTCCCCAGCTTCCAAATCATTCCAGTGCCGGAGGTCTTGTTCCCGGAACATGCCATTCTGCCCATTTCCTGTGCGCCCAGCCTGTTGTTTAATGGGGTGTCATCAGGCTGGCATGGAGCACGGTACTCCAGGAATGAGTGGCGTTCACATGTCATAATGTGAGACCGCTCACTCTTGGATGAATGACCTCTATTACTAGAAGGCTTCAAGAAAAAGGGTGTGTATTGTTTAACAAAATAGGGAAAGGGGGCGGGGGGTGTTATATGCCAGGAGTTCTGCTTCAAAGTGGACATTTAAGTATTTACATGTTCCTAAAGTGTATGTCTGAGAAAAATAAAAAATATTCAGTAAATCTTCAGTGCATGCATGTTTCCCCGTGTGTTGTCTCATTGACCCCTGGCCCTTTAAGAATACCTTACAGGGTTATTAAACCCTTGCATGTTTCTGCATATATCTACTGCTAGCAAGCAGTAGATATATGCAAAACGATTAAACAAAACCCAAAACGTTTTGAAAGGGTTAATACTTACCTGTGTCTCCGCCCCATGCTCCTGTCCGAATATCTGAAAATTTCTCGGGCAGCTGCAAAGGATCTTGGGGCGGGCGCATGGGCAGTTCAGATGTTCGGCCGGGAGACAAGGAGAGACACAAGCTAAGTCTATGGAGCAGCCTGCACCCGCACAGACACCTTGGGACGTCAGAGGAGAGGAGGACAGAGGAGTCAGCGCTGGATCGGAGACCCGCACCAGCGCTGGAGGGACAGCTGAAAAGGACAGGAAAGAAGAAGATGATCGGATTAAGAGGCATCATTTAAGGTAAGTCCGTACATTAAAATTGGGGGGAGGGAAAAAAATTGCCTTTAATGTCACTTTAATAGTGGCAGTGGCTCCCCATTAGTCATTCACAACAGTCACATGATCAGGAGTCTATCCCCAGCTCCTGATGTAAACAGTGACTTGGTGACAGCTCGGTCACTGTTCTGAGAGGGTGCAGTAAGCGCAGTTCAAGCAAGGAACAGTGGACATATATAGGCGGTGGCTGGGCATTAAAGGCCACCTTCTTGCCCTCGCATGTATTGAGGAGAGTATACAGAATTGCAGAAAATACCTGTTAATCTGCCAGAAATTCGGCAAGCTCCTACCTTCCTGTTCGAACTGACAACACAGTGCCTTTACTCCACTGAAATTCTAAGCAGTGTTGTCAGTCCTGCCTCCTCTGGACTACAGAACACCTCCCCTTATGCTATGGAGATAAAGAGAGGGGGGTGGATTGGGCAAGGGTAACAACACTGCCTGGGATCTAATTGCAGCCAAGCCACAAACTTATCCAGTAAAGTCTGGGATTCCTAAAAGCTGGACTGAGGACGAGCAAATATCATCTAAATACAAGAGACGTGTGTATTCTTTCTGGAATCTTGGTGAGCTTTGTGCAGATCTGTGCAGCAATCCAGTGTGAGCTTCCTGTAATAAAGACCGCTCAATGCTGTTCTCTCTCCTTGTGCAGGGTGACTGCTCTTGTCTCTGCCCCCTTCTGTAGTGGGTGGGGCCTGCTGGTTCCCTCCACAGCTCTGCTCTCTGCACAGGCTATGTACAGCACAGTGATGATGTAATTACTACTTTTATAATATCTGTGTTTGCAGAGGCATTTGGTAAACACACAGAAGATTTATATCTTTTCTGATTATTGAGGAATATATTTAAATGAAAGTTTGGTGGTTGGAGTTTAACTTTAATCAATTCAGTTCAATCATGGGAGGCTCAGCATCACAGGTGGACATTACCTAGGGCCGGCTGTATGCAACTGTGGTTTGCCTAGGTACACCCACCCCTCCAGACTAACATCCACCCATCAAGGTTACACCTCCCAAGAGCCAGCCCACTGCTTTCGTAAGAACTAAGGGCTCTTGAGAGACATGCTGAGGTAGGTTGCTGTGATGTTTTCAGGAAGGTATGTACAGCACCCAACCAGCCCCTCCCACCAGCCATGATCTGCCTGCATTGCAAAGAGAAATTTGGAGACCCATACATTAACAAGCAGAACGAGCTGTCCAGTGACAGGGATGCAGATCAGACAAACTATAACACCTTCGGGGTTAATCACAGTGGTCACATAGCTTACGTTTTGCAAATGTTAGTCCCCTAACTTTCTCTGCCTTTATGACCAGGCTCTGCCATCTGCTATCCCTCTGTTCACTCAGAGTGCCCTCCTGGCTTCATTGGCATTATGGACCAGAGGTACGCAAACCTCCGCCCTCCAACTGTAGTGAAACCACCAATCCCATCATGCATCTGCCTCATACATGTGGCTACCAGATTGCCTAATGGGATGTGTAGTGGAGGGCCAAAGTTTGCCCACCCCTGATATAGAGTGTTTTCTAGAAATCAATGGAAATCACAATTAAATACATTTCATCTCCAGGTTGTAACCGTATATGACATGGCAAAGTCCACAGGGGTTGAATACCAATGCAAGCCACTGTACATGGGGGAAATGAAGTGTATTTCCAGAGTTAGGTTATATTTTCAGTTATTTTTGCTGTGTTTACCTAAAATCATTTTTATGTGACATATTTACAATCTATTTACCGTATTTACAATCTATTAACTATTAACACTGTCCTCTGTACGGGCTCGGGTCCAGCACGACGAGCCTCTGTGGCTGGATCAGTGGGAGTTCAGCACACTTCCAGTGACTGGTCTCCCCTCCAATTACTGAACCTGGAAGTGACAGATAGATGCATCATGGGATTCGTAGATTCACTACATCTGGAGGGACAGAGTTTGCCCTCCCCTGTACTAGAGGAAAATAAGCCACTGTGATGAACTGCTGAGATAAAAGAGAACTATGGGGTAACCTTTTTATCCCATATTTCTCTTAAGAGTCATGCGAGGACATATAATAACCTCCTCCCGTGACCCAAAGTTCAGTATACAGCGAGCTATATACTAAGAGCGCCACAGCCAGGACGGATCCTGACAATACTGTTGAGATCCACCCAGCTGACTGATTGACAGCAGGCTCTGCCTATCTTGTCACCGCTCTCTGCAGGAAGATGATTGGGAAGTGAGCGAGCGACCGTATGTGCTTGCTCACTTCCTGATCAAAAGAGCCGACCTGTGACAGTTTAAAGGAGAACTATGGGGTCAGGGCTTTTCCCCATAGTTCTCCTAAGGGTAACGGGAGGACACAAACTAGCGTCCTCCTGTCACCCAAACTTCAGTATACTGCGAGCTACAGCTCGCAGTATACTGAGACGCCGCAGACGGGACGGATCCCGACATTACTGTCGAGATTCACCCAGCTGCGTGATTGACAGCTGGCTCTGCCTATCTAGAGGCAGAGCCAGCTGTACCAGCCCCCTCCCCCATCTGTTCCGCCAGTCAGCGCTTTGGGATCGGACAGGGGAGGGGGAATCCCCGCAGGGAGCCGTGAGTGACAGTCACGTCTCTCTGCAGGGATAGATCGAGAAGTGAGCGTGCGACAGTATGTGTTCACTCCCCGATCTATTGAGCCGACCTGTGACAGTTTCATTGTCACATGTCCGCTAGAACTATGAGGCTGAGTGATTTTCACTCACCTCATAGTTCTCCTTTTTAATTGTCATGCTTCGGCTCTAACTATGAGGATGAGTGTAAATCACTCACCTCATAGTTCTCCTTTCCGATATCAGCCACCCAGGGAGGAGAGCATTATTTTCAATGAGTCACTCAAACCCTAAGCTAGCCACACATGGTTGTTCACCCTCGTTTGATCTGGGGGTGAACAACAGCTCAACATATGTCGGTTTTCCAATAGATGTTGTCCAAGGAACTGGGTGGAAAACGGTCGGCCTGAACATTGACTGCATCCAATCAGCTGCAGGCACTAATCGGGTATTCTGACAGCGGCAGACACCAGCTATTGGAAAACAATATCCAGCAGAGGAGACTGTTTGGCATGGATGGAAGAATCTTTTAGATTTCCTTTGTTTATCTGAACAATGGCAATGTGGGTATATATGGCCAGCTTTAGTTTTGTATTGTGAGAGGGAGCAGTAAAGCACAATCGTTGTGTTGCACAGCAAAGTAGGAGGCATAATCTGCATATGTAATGTTATATGATGCCCCTGGCCAGAAAGCACAAGAAACAAATAAAAAAACAAGACATATATAAAGCCTAAAATTAGGGATGCACAGATACTTTGAGTACCAGTACAGATACTTGGCTTGCTTGTACCGAGTACTGTACTTGGTATTTGTGCAACCCTACTGAAAACACTAAAAAAAACTATTAAGAAACATAGCTAATCAGCCTGTTCAGTCCCCGAAAACACCCCAAATGCAACCAGGAGTCCAAAGATAACACTATCTAAGTAGGAGGCGTGTATGCCACTGCCGCAGGTAAAAACCGCTCATAAAATCAAAAGATGACATCAGCATAAGACTGAAGAAGGTTCTTGCATTGCCAGTTGGAGCTAAAGGTTCCTAAACCCAATAAACAGGTCTCCACAGTAAGGGAAATATCAACAGTAGTGAGCATGGAAAATGAAGGCCTGCTCCTCTAGCCAAAATATCTGAATATTGAGGCACAACCATATCATATGGATAAAATCAGTATCTTCTGTGGGACACCACCAACACATGCGGAAGCCCGGGGATAGATCTTATGAATTCTAGCAGGAGACTTACAAACTCTATGGAGCAGTTTGAATTGGATAAGTCTATCTCTAGCAGAGACTAAATATGTATGCAGGTGGCCCCACGTATCTTCCCAGTCCTCCGAATCAAGACTTGGAGCATCCAAGAGCCGTCTGGTGCGAAGCGAAGAGTTTCCAGGCCACCATGAATATTAGGTTGGAGGGCTCTATAAATAGAAGATAAGGGCTTACGCAGGGTCTCAGATTGCAAAAAGGACCCCACCCCAGAAGGCACCAGAGCCAAAGGTACAGGACCAAACTGCATTGAACACGGCTTTAAATTGTCAAATGAAAGGAGACCATGTTTCCCTACGATATGTTCCAAGGTCTTCACACTACGCGAGGCCCTAAAATAAGGTGTTTTAACAACAACACATTGATAATTGACATTTAAATGACGCATATCTCTTTTACACATATTTTTTACACATATACTCAGAAAATAATTGACAGTACAGTCCCTTTAATAAAGAGGGCTGGTCTTGTGGCCCCGCCACTTTGCCGTGTTTTGACCTCCTGTATTTGGTTTTAATAATTCAGCTGTAGGAAATGCTCTGTTCATCTTCCACCTACGGGAGTAAATAAAACCTTCCTGTCGTTTTCTGTCATCTTTGTGGACAGAGCTTGTCCAGCTCTTCGTTGGTACCCAAGAGAGCCTGACATAGAGATGCTAATGAGTAGCCCGTGTCCTGCAGGAGCCTGCGGGGAAACCTTTGTCTGCTGCTGGCTGTGTTGTGGCACTTTGCTGTGTGTGTTAGTTATACCCCCTCCTCTGTGGCGGGGATGTCAGCATATCTCATGTATTTATTATCTCCTTTCAGAGGTGGCGCGGAGCTGCTGTTTAACGGGATCAAGAAACATCAGGTGACCCTGCCTAGCCGGGCAGATCCTTGTGAGTATCCTTCGTAGTAATGCTTTAGGGTAACCCCTTTGCGATACGTGTAAAGATTGGAAGTAAACGCAGGTCATTCATACACTTGAGTTATATGTCCATGATCACGCCTAAATATGAGAAACTTCTACAGATCTACAACCGTGAAGTTTTGCAGAGCGCTTTAACTGCCAATGGATTTTCTTGTAGTCCTGAGACTTGCATAGCTTTGCCACACAGGCGATGAGACTTGACCTCTTTTTTTCTCTTCTGCAGTCACTTTTACTTTCCAGTCTCCTCCCCACTCCTACCCTGTGCCTGGCCTGGCCAGTGAAAGGAGAAGCAGCACACTGATAAGCTCCTCTCTGTTATTCTGCTATCTCCTACTATCAGTTTGCTCTTGCACTGTAGCACACCTAAATGGCACCTTGTGCTGCATCTTCCTCCCCCTCTCTGCAAGTCAGCAATAGTAGATCCATAGATTTCTGTCGTGATGAGTTCCCTTTAAGTTGAAGTGGAATTTTATTTACATAAACTTTTCTGTGACTCACATAGGTTCGGCTGTAAAACAGTTACAATAAAGCGTCATAAGGAGGGTTGCCAGAGTGTAGTATTTATTTAGTCTAAAGTTTATCGCTGTGATGGAAAGCCCCTGGTCATCTCCAACTGTGCTCCAATCTGTCAGTTCCTATGCAAATATCAACATGTGTATAGTAATTGTTCAATCATCTCCTTAAAGAAGACATGAACTCTGGAACCTGTGCCCAAAAGAGACAGGCAAAGGACTAGTCACCATTACTGAATATGTACTACCTGCAACCGAGCTTTACCCATTACTGACTTACCATGCTTTGTTCAGCACTATGTCTCTGTGTGGAAGTGGCCATCTTGTTAGAGGAACAGGGTGTTGCTTCTTCTTGTCAGAGCTCCCCTTCCCTGATATCTGAGGAGCGTTACTCAAGAAGCAGCAGAAGAGGAATCGCAGATCTACAGAATGAATGAAGCAGATACAGGGAGATCCTTGTGCTGCAGGTTCTTAGGTTCAGCTTCCTCTCCAGCATGGAGAACATCGAGTAACACTTAGTGACATCACCAAATCTCCTGAGAGTAGCAGTTAGAGACAGCAGTGCCTCAGATCCCACAATGCAGATTTACAGCTGCGAGGCTACAGAATTAGGCACACTCGCATACCGGAAGAGCACTGGTATTTTTTTAGAGGAATACAACATAAAAGATAAATGTTTCAGGGCACTTTTTGGGTACAATTAACATTTTTGGATAGTGCTTTAAGGTCTTTACTTTTTGAGTTCAGCACGACTCTAAAGGGCACTGTAAGTTATGACTAACTAGCCAACCTTGGCTCATTATAACGGGTAACAAAGCAAAATGCTGCAATGGAAGTTTAATTGCTATGGCAAGTATCTAATTTTTTGTGCCATATTGTCCGTATTTCTTTAGCGTGAAGTACATTTTAAGTTTATTCATCACTTAAGTCAGATGGCATTGATGATGGCCGCTCTCTACAGTTACATTTATTTGGGACATTTGCTTAAGAGTGTTGCATGGGGGGCAGTCTAGGAGCAGCTTCAGTCTCAGTGGAATTTATTGTCAGGATACTGCATAAGGTGGGGGGTGGGCGATGCTGGGAACTCTTTAAACTGATTAGAATGCAGCTCACATAGAAGATGATGCCAGCTGTTCCAGTGCCCTCCTCCCACTCCCTCTGCCCCCCTCCTGCTAACTGACCGCCACTGTTTGCTCAGCTCTGAGCCCCCTGCGCGAAATTGCTTTTCAAAAGGACCACTTTCTGCTTAATTAAACAGAGAGTCAACACATCTGTGAAGTTTTCCTGCTCCCCTATTATCTTGATATTGATCCCGCTCAATCCCACCCAGAGTCCCAGACTGTTCACTTATCGAGTGAGCTGGTTACCTATGGGCAGGCTTACTACTGGGCTAAGCCTTGCCTGTAAATTCTGGAGTTTATAGTAAATGCAAAAATAAAAAATGTGCCTACAACTAAAAATAAGGAAATTCAAATTTCATCAGTCTTAAAAAACAATAAGGCTTAAGTATCATCGTACCATTAGCTGGATAGTGATAAATCCCCATTGACCACCCCCACCTTCACTGTTGGGTCAGTCCCGGATACCACCATATTTCTTATTTTTTCAAGCCTAATGGACAGATACAAAGTGCTTTCATGACCCAGAATGCTCAGGTCCTTCATATGTCTTGATCAGACTACCAACTGGGGGCTTCAAAAATCAGTGCTGACAAGCTGTTATAGCAGTGGCTGTTTATTTTATTTTTATTATAGAAATACAGTTTATAGAAATATTTAGAATTTTAGTTTAAAGCGGCTCTGTTGCCACATAATAAAGTTATAAAAGAGCTCCCTGTAAAAGAAGAAGACCTGTCCCACCACCAGTGCCTCCCATCTTTGCTTCCTTAAAGGGTTTCTAAACCCTCCATTTTCTTTGCATATATCTACTGCCAGCAAGCAGTAGATATATGCAAAAAGTTTAAAAAAAAACAAAACACTTTAAAAGCAGTTTAAACTTACCACTCTTCTCGCCGCGCGCTCCCGTCCGAAAATCCGAAACTGCTCGGGCGGCCGCAAAGCATCTTGGGGCGGGCACATGCGCAGTTCGGATTTTCGGCCGCGGGACGAGGAGAGACGCAAGGTAAGTCTATGGACGCGTGCACCCGCATGCAGACATCGTGGGATCGGAAGTGCTTGCAAGGTCAGAGGAGTCAGCGCTGGATCGGAGACCCGCCGCAGGGCTGGAGAGAAGGCTAAAAAGGACAGGAAAGAAGAAGATCGGATTAAGAGACCTCATTTAAGGTAAGTGATTTACTTAACATTAGGGGGAGGGAAATTTTTTTTGACTTTAATGTCACTTTAAAGAGCTAAGCCAGCCGAAGAATCTGCAGCATCCAACAAACTTCTGGGTGCGTTTGATGCCTAATCCCCTGCTGCATTCTGTGGATCTATCCGTGCTCTGCACTTGGTAAGTATTAGTTCTCTTCTTTTAGTGGTTAGTGTACGCAGGCATTTGAGATGGGTGAAGTATGCACAGATCCTGTTTAAAATCCAAACACTGCATTCCACAATAATGAAAATTGCTCCATGACCTGATCACAAATGCCCATTTGCACTGCTGCTATACAATTGGTTTAAATGTATTGAAGGCATTGGTGGTGTTCCACTGCATTGCCCTACTGATTTGCAGTCTTTTTAAAGCAGGGTGGGCACAAACAGCAGTCTATTCTGAGAGTCTAATGGAAGACATCAGCTAATCTTGATAGTAATTACCTGTCCAGCTTTTGAAACAATTGAATGGAAATTCTCCAGGTCTGGGAAAATCCCACCCTTAACAGTTTTCAGCATTGGAGGTAATCCCTTCTACTCCTCTTCCATTGACAACTGCTAAAGTTCAGAGTTCCTTTCACTTTCTGTCCTCAGGACAATGCTCACTAGGGCAAGTAGTGAGAGTTGTACTCTACAATAGGGTCAGAGAAGTAAAAACCTGACACTTCCCCACCCTATCCAGAACTAGAATAAACTATAGTCAACTAGTGTACTCCATTCCCTTTTGCTTACACTTGTACAATGCAGTGTAGGAATCCCAAACAGGACCACTTTTAGGCCCCTTGCTGTCTCGTACTTACAGAAATTCTGCTTTTTGTAGGCATCAGTGCTAACAGCTTTATCATAACCACTAATTGTATTTCAAACCTACCTTGCCAGTCGGAATCTTGTTAGTGGTAAGGAAAGCAGGTTATATAGCACAGGTTTCTGGAAGCCGAACATGTGAGGAACTCTACCAATGCAGTGCAAAGTTAATTATCCTGAATCTTTCTGTCATTCCTACACTTGCAGGGTTATCTGGCTAAATCAGCATATCATTCATTTTTATTTGTTGCCTGGAATAGCTCATTAATAAAACTTATTTAAATATGCAAACGAAGCTATGGAAAAGGATTCAGTCCGGCACCCCCCCCCTCCCTCAAATAAAGAATAATGTCATTTTAGAGAGTGGTGGAACCACATTGGCAAGCGCAGCGCCTAATACAACAGCGATCATTCGCAGTTGGTTCACACGCCGCAGACCGCTATGGATGGTGCTGTGTCTCAGCAATATGGTGAACGGGGGATGACGCCCACTGATTAGGGAGGGCAGAGAGTCATAGTTGCTACGTGTAATGGCGAGCGGCGCTGGTCATTGCAGGGTCAGGTGCAGGGATGTGAAGGCTCGTTTATCAGCCTGACTCAGGAGGGTCAGATAGTTGTGCCTGCTTCCCACCCGCCCACATTCTCTGTCCAGGGAATCTATTGTATAGGGGCGTTACCATGGAGAGCCCGGCATCAGCTCGCTATCCCCATTGTTCCCAGTCTGGGAAGGGGCCTTTCCTTCTCACTAATGAGTAACCAGAGGGCTATTAAAACCTGGTACAACTGTACAGGCCCATGCTGTCCATTGCTAACAAAGAAATGGTAGGATTTTCGACGGCAGAACCACAGTATCTGTTTTACAGTAGCAGCTTATTTCATCATTCTGGCAGCTTGCTGTACAGTACTGAACAATCTCTGTTCCTTTTTATTGCCACCTACAGCTGGTTTTCAGAAACAGCATCCCATGGTATTAGACACAGCATGCCCTAAAATCAGGAGAAACTGCCAAATATGCTGCCAATAACTCATATAAGACAGGAAACCCGTACTGAACACACGGGGACTTTGAAATTGCTAGTTACCTGGTTGCCACGTGAACAAGCATGCACTATGTCTGAACTCCTGAACTGCATTCTTGTTCCAGTACAGTGACTCAAGGTATTGATGAAAGTGATATCAGAATTCCTGAACTGCATGCTTGTTCCGGGACAGTGTCTGAAGGTATTGATGAAAGTGACATCAAAACTCCTGAACTGCATGCTTGTCCTGGGACAATGACTCCAGGTATTGATCAGAGTGACGTCAGAATTTCTAAACTGCATGCTTGTTCCGGGACAGTGACTCAAGGTATTGATGATAGTGACGTCAGAACTCCTGAACTGCACGCTTGTTCCATGACAGTGACTGAAGGTATTGATGAGCATGACATCAGAGCTCCTGAACCATATGCTTCTACTGGGACAGTAACTCAAGGTATTAATTAGAGTGACCTCAGTACTCCTGAATTGCATTCCTGTTCTGGGACAATGACCCATGGTATTGATGAGTGACATCTGAGCTCCTGAACTGCATGCTTGTTCTGGGACAGTGACTCAAGGTATTGATCAGAGTGACATCGGAACTCCTGAACTGCATGCTTGTCCTGGCACTCAGGGCATTGATGAGGGTGGTGTCAGAACTTCTATACTGAATGCTTGTTCTGGGACAATGTCTTAAGGTATTGATCAGAGTGACATCAGAACTCAAGAATGACATGCTTCTTCCAGGACAGTGACTCTGGATATTGATGAGGGTGATGTCAGCACTCCTGTACTGCATGGTTGTTCCAGGGCAGTGACTCTAGGTATTGATGAGAGTGACATCAGAACTCCTGAACTGCATACTTGTTCCAGACTATTGACTCAAGGTATTAATACCATTGGATGTGTATGACAGCTAGCCAATAGCTAGCATTTTTAGAAGCATAAGTTAGCACTGTAAACCTTATTCTCTCACTGCAATACACAGCACCAGGCTCCTCCCCTCTATTATCCACACCAGTTACCTTTAAAAGTCAGAAATACATTTTGGTGCCCCTCCCTGATGTAGTTTCACATTGTTACTGGGCCTGACTTTATGGCTAAGCTCTACGAGCATCCATCTTCCTGTCCAATGAGAGCGCCTTTTGTTTTCTCTCCACTGGATGAAGTCCTGTTGGACAAGGGAATAGCAGTTGGCAAGACTTGGCCATGAAGTTGGGGTAAATCAGGCCCCAATAGTAAAATGAAACTAAATCACTAGTGAAACAAAATAAAGGGTCCATGATGTTGCTTGCAGATGGGTATCGATAGGTTGATTTGAATAAGAACAAGCAGGAGGTACTTAGGATGTTCCTTAAATACCCCCTGCATGTTCAATAAATCTATGAATTTTCTCCAAGCAACCTCATGGATCCATTTTTTGATTCAACTACAAATTTAGTGGAACCAGGCAAGATCCAGGAGCCACAGTACATGTTTCATGTTGGATGTTATGACTGGGATCCTTAGTGACAGCAGAAATTTAGTTATATGAAACTAAATCAGAGCGAGGCACGAAAGGGGCTTTCCTGGCTACTAAATGTAATGGTGGCATCTTGTGTCATCTGTTGCTGGGTAAAACGTTTTAAAATGGAAAACTAGAGTACGGATCACTTTAAGTGGTCAATAGATTTGAATACATTGTTTAGAAAGGTTTAGATAATTTCACCAGAAAACCACATATTGTGTCATCCTAAGCATTAAATCCCAACAATATGAAGGATGCTGGTGACTGGCTAATGCTTGTTCTTAAAATGTTTAAAAGTCTCAGAAAATCCTGAAGTCATTGGACCAGAATGACAGCCAGGAACAGAAGGGGAGGTCAACATTGGCAGCCTCCATTCCGCCTCACTATAGATTTCTTTTACCACTCATTTCTATAATATAATGATTTCTGTGCTTGACGGCTGTATCAAAAAGTGCCTGTGGGCTCTCTTAAAACTGATATGATCAATAACTAATTACAACGGACTAGAAAAGGAAAAAACATTGATTATAATTTACAACTGCACATTTCCTCCCCAGAATGCACAGAAAAATACACTCACTGGTCACTTTATCAGGTACACCTTGGTAGTAGGGGGTTGGACCCCGGACCCTAGCAGTTCAGAACTTCCTTTATTCTTCGTGGCATAGATTGAATAAGGTGCTGGAAACATTCTTAGAGTTTGTTCCATATTGACATGATAGCATCACGCAGTTGCTGCAGATTTTCGCTTGCACATCCATGATGCTAATCTGCCGTTCCACCACATACCAAAGCTGCTCTATTGGATTGAGATCTGGTGACCGTGGAGGCCATTTGAGTACAGCGAACTCATTGTCATGTTCAAGAAACCAGTTTGAGATGATTTTAGCTTTGTAACATGGTGCGGTATGCTGCTGGAAATAGCCATCAGAAGATGGGTACAATATGGACATGGTCAGCCTTTCTATCAGCTTGAACCAGTCTGGCCATTCTCCTCTGACCTCTGGCACCAACAAGGCATTTTCTGCCGCTCACTGGATAATTTTTATTTTTCAGACCATTTTCTGTAAACCTGAGAGATGGTTGAGCATGAAAATCCCAGTACATCAGCAGTTTCTGAAATTCTCAGACCAGCCTGTCTGGCACCAACAACTATGAAACTTTCAAAGTCACTTAAATCACCTTTCTTCCCATTCTGATACTCAGTTTGAACTTTAGCAGATCGCCTTGACCATGTCTACATACCTAAATACCTAATAAAGTGACCAGTGAATGTAAATCAGTGATATTTACTCTTTATGGTTTAGTACAACCTTTCCATAGGCTCCATTCACACATGAGTTGTTTTCCGCGCTAAACATAACAACCAATGCATAGCAATATGCATTGTTCAGACTATTGCGACGGCCGCGCGCGGTACGAAACCGTGTGTTCTGCAAAATAGTCCAAGCACGATTTTATGGGCGGATTCCGCATATTACAGCTATAGTGATAGCTGCAAACATGCGGAATACGCACGTATGTTACCGTTTTGCGTGGTTTCATTCTGCGCGAAAAACCGCTACCACTATGTGTGAATGGAGCCTTATAGCAGCTAAATACATTTCAGGTACATCAAAGCAAAATGTGTTCAAAGTCTTAGAGTTTGTTTGTTTTTCTTTAGAAAGCAGCATCAGTCTGAGTAGCAAAGTCTGTCCTCTGCCAACATGCTGCAGAGAAGGATCATTGCTGTCTATGTGGAAGCAGGGGTCTCTCTGTAGAGGACCGACACATCCCCTAAATCGGAGCTTGCGCTCTCCAATCAACAAAATCACACTCCCTGCTGATTGGGAAGCTTTAGCTTTGAGGGGCCTGTAATAACTGTGCAGAGAGACCATACATACAAGCTTTTCCAATCAGGCTGTGGCTGCTTTCTAAAGAAAAACAAACTAAGGCCCCATTCACACTGAGCGACATGAAAATCGCGCAATTTTATATGAGCGATATTGAGCGACTTGTCCCTATTGGGCTGTATGCAATCAGGAGCAAAATCGCTCGAAATCGCTCGAAAAAAGGGTCATGTAGGAGCTACCAGCGATATTGAGCGACGAGATGTGAACAGCTCCATTGAAATGGATTGGAGAAGCTACATAGAGCGATATCGCGTGGAAATATGAGCGATATCGCTGCAAAAATCGCTGGATAAATCGCTCCTTGTGAATGGGGCCTAAGACTTTCAGCACTTTTTGTGTCGATGCTCCTGGAATGTATTTAGCTGATTTAAACCAAACATTCAAATTGGAGATCGGCGTGGCCATCATATGCTAGTTGGCCATCATTGACCCTGTGGCTTTGCTCGATAATTCTGCAGCCCCTGCTCTACTAGGGTTTGATGTGCTAATTTTTGGGGCTGTAATGAGCAGGTCCCGATCTGTCCCTTTTCCCATAGTACCCATTACATAGTCTTCAGAAAACACAATGGCTGCCGCATAACCACATATTTTGCTTTTTTCAGGGGACATGAAGCATTTGCTGGAGTGGATCAAAGATCATTTGCTGAAGGAACGTCCTGAATTGTTTATTCAAGGAGATACAGTGTAAGTATTGTGTATTAGTATACAGTGAGCTTTCAGAGTGTGAGGATGCCTTTTAAAGTAGCCTTTCAATGAGTGTAAGGCTGTGCCAACGCTAGAACACTGGTCTCTGATGACAGCGGGGACTGGTAAAGCAGTCACTGCATTAAACAAGTGCTGCTCTTTAGCTTCATAAGTGCTCTAATTGTTACTGAAAGAACACAAAACACAAGTCCTTGCCATTCAGATATCTTCCTGCCAAAGGGAACTTATAGGATCATTTTGATTATGAGAATCTGATGTGTAGCATCTTCAGTGATAAGAGGACCGACCAAGCAGTTTTCTATCTTTGTTTAAAAATGTTATGGCCGTGTTTCTGTTCTTGCAGGAGGCCGGGGATTCTTGTTCTTGTTAATGACGCAGACTGGGAGCTGATGGTAAGCACAGAATAAATACTTAAAAGTCTCTGAATTGGTGCTGACACTGTCCTTCCTTCTGGAGGGGGGCTACGTTTGTTCCCCATCGTCCCTGTGTGTGTTGTAAAGTGGCCACCGCCCCAAGCTCACTCCTGTGATGGACTACAATCTCAATACAAATTAGTAAATTAAACCTGAGATTGTAGTCCATCACAGGAGCAAACTTGGAGCGGTGGCCACTTTACAACACACACAGTGACCATGGGGAACAAAAAGTGTCACTTTAAAGGCTAAATTCACCTTTCTAACTATGTTTCATGTTGCACCCACATTTATGGTGTAAAATGAAACATGGTCAGATTTCCGCAGGTCTGTTGACTTTTTTGAATTTGGAGCGGCTGTGTGTGGCTCCACCCACACAGCGATCACATCCATTCACAGATCCTTTGACAGCATCTAAGAATAGAGAAACTGCAAGTTCTCAATGGAATACAGGTGTGGTGATGTCACCACACTTGTCAATTCATTCGTCCTCCCATCCATGTTACTGAATCTCCATCCCTCGGTATAGACATGAACAGGAAGAAGAGTCTGCGGGAGCTAGAGCATTGCACTCTCCATCTACTGATCATGGTTGCAATGCTCTAATGCAGGGGTGGGCAACACTGGCCCTCCAGCTGTGCTTTAACTTGAATCCCAACATGCCTTTGCCTCTGGGAGTCAAGTCTGCAACTGTCAAGCTATGCCTCATGCTACTTATAGTTCCACCAAAGATGGAGGGCTGCAGTTTCCCACGTTTTTTTTTTCCTGTGCAAAAAAATAATAAATACACATTTTTTTCTTTTATGAAGAAGTGTGCATTTATTATTTTCTCTTTTAAAGGTGGGATTTCTCTTTAACGTACACAAAAAATAGCAAGTGTATTTAATAGAATAGATCAGAGCAATATGCAGTACATACAGTGACCAAAACTCCATCTTGTACTATTTTTACTTCACTAAAGTGAATTCTGTTTGGTACGGTAGCATCTAATCAGAATGGACATTGTAATATAGTGTATTATGGTTGGCTACAACCGATCAGATTCCATCTTGTTTTTCGATTGGATGGTGTAGGTCACAGCACTTTGCACAAAGCAATTTGATCCTTACACTGTGTATTGATTAAGTCTTGAATAATTATACTATGCACTGTATTTCCTTATCTGTATTAGTGTAAAAGGAGGCATTACCATATTTCCATGCAGCCTTGCAGGAGGCGGGCCAGTACAAGCTTCAGCACACGCTCCTTCCTATGGTTTACAGTGTATGTCAAGGGCAGAAAGGCCTCCCATTGACTTTACATTGTGAGCCACATAGGAAGACAACACAATGAGTCTTTCACTCCCCCTGCTCATGAAAACAACCCACATTAACAAAATCATTGTTGTTCAGGCCTGTAAAGCGTCTTCCATTCATTTGCAATGTTTTGCATAGTTTCTGCAAGACAAAAGTCTTTTAAAAGGAATCTGTCCAGATAGGACTGTTGGATCGGCAGCCACTGAGGTATTTCTCAGTACAGGATCCAGGGCTGTTCCTCCATACTCCTGACGCGGGACAAGGATGTGTCAGGACAGACGATGAGGGGAATTTATCAAAACCGGAGCAGATGGAATCTGGAGCGATTGCCCATAGCAACAATCAGCTTCTAGCTTTCATTGTCAAAGTTTAACTGAGCAAACTGAAGAGAGAAGCTGATTGGTTGGCATGGTCAACTGCTCCAAATTCTGTCTGCTCCAGTTTTCATAAATTCCACCCAATATGTACATGTGGGTTCCAGGTCAGTCATTCAACCGGTAGTAACGGAAGGGTAAGGATGACAGCCCAATACATGTACCTTCAAAAACTAATGTCAGCAGCTACAATTTGAATTTGTTCTCAAAGTAATAGTTTCCTGAGGAAATAAACTTTCCTCCCTATGATGTAGCAAAAATGATATTGTAGGAGCCTGTATGTGTCTTCGTGAGTGTCCTGGGACTTCCAAAATGCAGGGTACTTTGATATAAGGATCTTGACCATTGCAAATAAAGTTTACAGTGGACATGCAGATAAATCTAAAGCTGATCTCCAAATTAAAACAAGAAAACGAAACTCTCCTTGCAGTGGTGCTGACCCCGCACTGCAAGGGTCAATTGCTAGTTGTTGGGTAGGGGTATTGTGTAAAGGACTTGTACTTATCTAATCCCCACTCCTGGGGAGTGGGGATCAGGTAAGTAAAAGTCCGATACACAGTTACCCTAGACATAAAGGGGCAGCTAACCCTTGCAGTGCAGGTGCAGCCCCACTGCAAGGGGACATTTTTGTTTTTACCCTGAGATAGGCTTCAATTAAAGCTACTGTATGTTAACAGTTGTGCTAGGGCGGATAAATAGAATTTTATAGAAGAGAATACATACCTTTCCTGTGGAAAATGCTGCTTCAGTCTCCCTCCTCTGCTAGTCACAAGACCAGAAATGTAGACCTTTGGTCACATGATCTCTGCTGAAGGGGCTGATTGGCGAATCTGAACTGTGATCTGAGAGGATCTTAAGCAACATTTTCCCCAGGAAAGGTACTTCAACTCCTCCGTTCCATTTTATTTATTAACTCAGCAAGACTGTTGGACAGCAAAATATAGGTCCGTTTTGATGCCCAAATTGTAATGGCTGCATAGTAAGCATCGGCCATTAGCTGTCAAGTTCTATGTGAATGCCGGTGATGTCTTTGCTGTTTTTAGTTCCTATACAACCCTCATATATAAGTCATTCTGTCTGCAGGGTGAGTTGGATTACAAACTGCAAGACCAAGACAACATTGTATTCATCTCCACATTACACGGAGGATAGTGAAGACCTTGTGATTTGCTCTAATCCAATCATGATGTTCCAAGTGGGGAGGGGATTTTCACGGTGTCTTCATCATCTCCAGTGGCGGTTGCTTGAAAAGTGACTTCACTTCTGAAAAGGACACGTCTACATACCACCCCGGCAGCCAGCCGCTGTGTTAATAGGTCAGAGCCATCCGTTTGGTGACATGTGGGACATCTCATTTACTGGCGGCCTTCTACCATATGTCAGTTTTACACCTGGATTAAAATGTTATTTTTGCTACCAGTTATAATTAATGGCGGTGTATATCCATGCAAAAACTAAATAAATAATGCCATTGTGAAACGTTGCGTCTTAACATCATGTTTTTGAGCTGCCTTCCTTTTTGCGTTATCATGGCGTGTGTTCCCCCTCCCCAAATTATATCCATGTGTTTACATCACCCTTTACCTCCTATAAACTTAAGTGCAACCATTTTGGTCCTGTATGAAGTATCTGTGTTTCCTTCCCAGTAAGCAATCCGCTTTTCCCTTTGCTGCTGCTTGGGCATGAGCAAACCAGCTTCCTGCCCAATGAAAGTGACATAAAAGCCGCATTGGTCCCTGAGTGGCTTTTCATTATGTCTCCCAGGGCTGATAAAAAGTGTAGCAGTCCCTCATAGCACTCAGTCAGGTATGACTTAGAAAAGTAGATAACTGGATGACACTAAGTTTGCTAATGCATTGTGTATCATAAACAATTGTTATGTTTTGCATTCATTGTTGCATCTCTTGCACCCCCTTTGCAGCCACTTCCTGTCTATATGCTTGCACTAGAGTGGTGGCTGTATGCCATATCTCAGGACGGGCTTCCTGATGGTGATAATGGGACATGCTTTTGGCTATTGGTATGGTCATAGTGTATGTAGCCTCCACTGAAATGACATGTCACAAAGTGACAACCCAGGAGCATAATTGAAAGAGAGTGACACAGAGCTGTCCTGTAACAAGTGTCTAATCAAGGTCCCTCATTGCAGGATCACAAGGTATTATTTTAATGAAAGCTGCATACTAAAGCCCATCTCTACCCTTTTCTAACTAATGGCTAGATGCAAATAAACCTTATCTAAATGCCCTTTTTACTTACCTGAAGCAGCAGTCACGTGACGCTCCATTCCCGACTCATTTCTCTTCCTTTGTTTATCTCCTTCTGTTATCTCCTTCTTTGTGTGTCCATGTCACTGCCTGCATAAGGTGGAGACTTCCTATTGGCTGTACGGCGGCTGGGTCATCTCAGGATCCAGTAGACGAGTGATGTCATTCCTAGGGGACCGGCCAGCTAGGGACCATTAGCGATCCCCCACACATGGAAATGGTGGTTGCAAGGGGCCAGGACGGGGAGACTTTGGTAAGTATGACCTGCTTCAGCAGGTAAGAAAAAAAAATCCTTGATGCATGAGGGGGGTGGGATGAGGGTCAAAATTACCCTGGAATGGGGCTTTTCAATGAACATTTTATATCTTATGAAGTTTCAGTGATTGGGTTTACATACAGTTTAGAGCAGGGGTGGGCATCTCCAGCCAAGATGTTGTCGAACTTCAAGTCCCACAAGGCACTGCAAAACTGACAGTTACATGCATGACCCTTAGACCCCATTCACACTGAGCGACATGGAAATCGCGCGACTTTGAGCGACATTGAGCGACGTGTCGCGCGACATCTTCCTATTGGGCTGTATGCAATCAGGAGCAATATCGCTCAAAATCGCTCTAAAAAAGGGTCATGTAGAAGCGACAAGCTACCAGCGACGAGCTACAAGCGATATTGAGCGGCATTGAGCGACGAGATGTGAACAGCTACATTGAAATGTATTGGTGAAGCTACATAGAGCGATATAGCGCGGAAATATGAGCGATATCGCTGCAAAAATCGCGCGATAAATCGCTCAATGTGAACGGGGCCTTAGAGGCAGAGGCATGTTTGAATTTGAAGTTAAAGAACAGCTGGAGGGATGGAGTTGCCCACCTCTGATTTAAAGCATGGTGTCTGGTTGCTGTGAACAGTCACTCCATTTTTGCTCCAGTTCTTAAGTCAACTTATTAAGAGCATATCCATATGATGAATAGTCTCTTAAAATAAAGATAAGAGTATGATTCTTCCGGTCTTGTAAGGTCCCTTTCACACAAGCTGATCAGGAGGGCATCCATGCACGGATCCCCTCCTGATCGGAGCAGTACAGATCGGACTCCACCGATGTGACATCCGTGTCTGTCCAGTTTCTTCCTCCATTTTTCGATGGAGGCAAAAACTGAAATGACCGGACCCCGTGTCAGTCTATGGGGAATTTGATGTAAATGGACATGTGTCTGTTTACATCAGATTACCCTGATCCGGCACGATCAGGTCTGGCAAAACGGATCTCTGATCCCTTTGTTTTTCCTTACCTGGCCTGAATCGGGGTCCGTTTACACCCAGCTGCCCATAGAGTTACATTAGACATCCAATCGAGCCCGCTTGAAAAACTGACAGGCAGAACCGATCCGAGTGCCTGTATGAAAGGGGTCTTACAGTACAGAATGCAATATTAAGTGAGGGAGGGGTATGGTCTGCTGGTGTACCCAACACTTTCCTTTTTCAGACCCCGATCTGACGGTCACTACCTATTAGTAGCTCTTATTGTTGAACTCCATGGATGTGTTGTTTTTTATCACACCCCAGCTATGACAGCGTCAAACGCGTAAAAATAAATAACCATAATGATCTTAGCCTAGAGAAAATAAAAATGAAATTTGAAGCCCTTAAATTTGTGGCGTGCTTTTTTCCCCCCTCCATACAAAAGGAGACGGAATCATAGACTGAAGAAATATGACTCGCCATCAGCATTCCGCGACAACACAACAATGCTCTTGGTGAAATACACCCAGGACGCGTTTTGCAATTCTCTGAGCTCTGGAGTAGCAGAAGAAGTGAACGTGTCATGATGATGTATCTTGATGTACTGGAAATAAATAAAAAGATAAAGAACCGTCAGGTTGAGTGTTCATTTATTTCTTCATAGTGGTCATGTGGTACGCCGGTCACCCCTGCCAGGATCTTGCTCATTTTCAGGAGGGGGGTTTCACTTAGTGTTCTGGGATAGTCTCCTTCTCCATTCTATATGGCTGCTCACTCGCCCCATTCATCACCGCCCCTCCCCTCATCCAGCCTCCTCACTGCTGCAGTCTTTGCTGTTACAGGGTTGTAAAAGGCTCCCGTCCATTAATTGGGATGTGAAAGGTCCCCATTGCTTGATATTTTTCCGGCAGTGACCATGGTGGAGGGGAGAGCCAATTCATTATCGTTAGTGTGGGTCAAGGAGCAGTTCTGTATCTTTTCAAGGGGTTAATGTGTCATGTAACCTATGCATTAGACTTAATTGGGTTATTTTATCATTAATGCATCTATTTATTCAATGTTATCATGGAGCTGTGCATAATAATGTCACCCGATAGGGCTACGTATATTAGTAGAGTCAATAGGCGGTCAGATGAATCATGAATTTATAAAACGTTGGGCTTATTTCAGGGGTGAGCAAACGCCGGCCCTCCAGCTGCGGTGAAACTACAAATCCCACCATATATCTGCCTCTGGGAGTTATTCCTGTGGCTGTCAGAGTCTTGCAATTCCTCATGGGATTTGTAGTTCCACAACAGCTGGAGATCCGGAGTTTGCACTCCTCTGTTTTATCTGATAAGGGTGGTGATGATATGCATATTGTAGGACCTATAGCAGAAGTAGGCAACCTCCAGCTGTGGTGAAACTACAAATCCCATAACACCTTTGCCTCTGGGAGTCATGCCGGTGGCTATCAGAGTCTTACAATGCCTCATGGGACTTGTAGTTCCACAACAGCTGGAGTGCTGAGGTTGCCTACCCCAGCCCTATACCTTTCATTTGTTGAGAGTAGTTGAAACAATTACAGATGTTTGATGGCTGGTTGCTGTGAGTTACTTCATCTTGCACATAGTTTTCGGCTTCGGTAGGTTAAAGTGCTCACAAACGCGTTACAATCCAGTTGTTGAATATTTTAATTGAGAAAGGAGCACAAGGACAGATTGGAAAATTGCCATTTTTGGTGGGGGTCTTAATTAGACTAATCATCAACAACACCAAACATCTATCACCGTTTCAACTACTCTAAACAAATGAAAGGTATAAACCCATGTAATAGGGCAGGGGTGGGCAACCTCGGCACTTCAGCTGTTGGGAAGCTACTAATCCCATCATACTTCTGCCTCTGCGAGTCATGCCTGTATGCTGTCAGAGTCTTGCAATGACTCATAGGACTTGTAGTTCCACAACAGCTGGAATGCCGAGGTTGCCTACCCCTGCTTTACAATTTGATTGCACAATCCCCTTTTAGATCTACCCACAGCTATGTAGCAGCATGCTGGCCATACATGTTACAAACTGATGTTGCTGTCTCTTTTAGATTTACCAAAACTATGTAAAAAAATGTTGCTAAATTTCTACAATCACATTGCAGCATGTGTGACTATCTTAAGGATCTGTCTGATTGGATAAAAAAAATCAATGAATCGTAGACCTTCAAATAATTTAAAGGAGATATAAAATCAAATTGTAATGTGTATGTCCAACTTAAGTGTATGGACCTTCTCCATCATCACTTCCTCTCCAAATTAAAGTCGATCAAATTGTAAATAACCATTTATTTTTTTTTTCATTTTTACAGCACTGAATGATTATGTAACTTGATTTACCAATCAAATGTTTAAAACCGAAAAGGACTAAAAAATACACACAGTCAGTTGAAAAGAGAAAATCCAGAGCCGACTGAATGTTTATATTGGATAGAAAGAACGTGAATGCAGACTTTAGCGCAGGAACTGACCACTGTCATTGACAACCGCCAATGGTTAGCGTCGTTTAGCAGCATGGTTCAAAAGGCATTGGTGTGACGACCAATTAGAATAGCAATATATGTAGATTAATAAATTGCTTTTTTCTGGTTGCCACAATATTTTTACCATGTTTATTAAGCTTAAACAAACTGGCATATGAAGGGCTAATTTACACGGGTGTGCACATCCGTATGGCAAGCTTGCCCATGCAGAGACCCTCCCCAGGGAGGGACAGGTGCAGCAAGTAATTGTGTGCAGCAACCTGTGCCTCCTTTTGGGAGGACACGGCTATACGCCGACCAAAACCTGCAAATCCGTGCGAGTCCGGGTGCCCGCACTTGGATGCACAAGGTTTGTGTCCAAGTGCAGGCGCCTAGACCTGCATGGATGTGCAGGTTCCAGTCGGCGTGCAGCC